TTTCTTTTGTGATGGGTTCAATCGGCTCGAATGCGTCAAATTGAAGCAGCCAAGGTCTCTGTGGGAGGATATGTGATGGGAAGAAGGTTATTGGAATGAGATTGGCGTTGGAGAGGAGATGATTGCCTGCAACAACATCAGAAGCTCCACCACATCGTCACTCTTCTCTTGCAAGTCCGCCATTTCGACCATGCACCTCATAAACTTCGATTACCTCCAATGACTATGGTTGTTGTGAGAATCCCTTTGTTGATAGAGATGAGATTTGGAGCTGCAGAGTTCCTCCGTCACAATTTTAGGTATTTTTCCTCTTCGTCTATGGTACTGCTTCAGATCTCTCATTCTCGAGTTTGCCTTCATCTTATTGTCTTTCATTGTCTCTTTTGTTGTACACGAACAAGTCATCTTGATTATTTCTTTTCGATTTTGCTGCAAGTTTCTTACGCTTTTCCCTCATTTTCTCAGATCTGTGCACTAGTACATCCAGTGTCAAACCACAACATAGATCGGGGGCATCAAGTCTCCGATCGAGGTTTCGGCATGCCAGTACCCTGCATATGCTTTTGTGACTAGTGACTACATTCATCTACCTTTAGTAAGTCGTTCTTGATCGCCCTGCCCATTTCACTTGGACATATTCCTCTCCAGCTCACTACCATATATATTTTTATTCATTTTACATCCACAGAGGGAATCGGTGAGAGGTCGACGCAATAATGGGATCGATCGGTGAGCTTTCGATCTCTTAACTTCTGTTTCGCTTTCACTCATTTATTGTTTATTATTATCTGTGGTGACCCAAATCGTTGTTGCTTAGGTTGTATATTTGGGATGTTAAGAGAGGTCGGAGCAGCGAGGTCCTCATTATGAAAACCGGGCCGGACCGGCCGGTCAGACCGGTAAAAATCGAATCTAGGCACAAATCCGGCCCCGGATGAAAGGAAACGGGCAACTTTAATAGATTTAACGTGAGCCTCCCTCTTTGGCTACTTTTTAATTAATAATTCAGAAAAGGAAACAAAGGTAACAGAAGAATTAAATAACCCTACTCTACTCTCCGCTACAAGTACCTACTTTTTTTTTATTTCTTTTTATATACTTCTTTCTTTTTATGTAAAGCCAAGTACCGGTTTATGACCGGTTTTCAATACCAGTTAATTAACGGTTATCCAATAAATCGTGAACCTCTCATTAATCTGGATCGATGTTCGGTTCGGTTTTGACAACGCTGAGCGAGATTGGCGAGCTCTATTGTGTGTTTAGCTTTGTTCTCTCTTTCTTATTTAGGGTGATTGTCATTTGTCTCTTTCCCACTCTTAGAAATGGGTTTGTTTTGCCTTTTTATGAGTTTTATTGTGTTTGAAGGAGCTAAGCGATGTGGAGTTTGGTAGCTGAAACTGCTCATGATCGATTGGTGGTGGCTGGAACTGTTGTTTAGCGGTGATGAGAATCGCAATGGGATATTTTTGTGATTGTGTGGAGAATCCATCTCTCCGTTGCAGGTATTTTATGGTTGGCTTTCGTTTTTTCGTAGTGACAATTTTTCCAATCCCTTGATCTCTGGTTTAATTCCCCCTTTTTCTCCCTCTATCTCTGCGTAGTCAGCAGCTGCAATTGGATGGGCAAGAAGAAGTGGCCTGCTAATCGAATTTCTTCGAGGGTGAGTCTCTTGCAACCAAAATAGGAAAATCTTGCTCCCATTTTTTTCTTCAGGCTCCCTGATTTGAGGGGATTATCAAGTTTTTTAAGAAGAATTTGATTTCTAGGTCTTGTTTTGGGTTCGCGAGGTGCTATACTGACTCTTTCTCTGTTTGTCGATTTTTCATGTGGAGTTTCTGTACATGTGTCCATTCGAGTGAGGTTCACACAAGTTGGTGATTGTGACTTTCAGTGCTTCTATTCTCCGACTGCTCCATGGATGTTTCCAGGTATTCAGGTTTGTACCTCAATCTCCATTTAATTGTTTAGTTTCTGTATTTTTCAGTTCATAAATTCTTTTTTATTGTTCTGTTACAACATTTTGTGTTCGTGACTCATCCTTCGAACAATGTTAAGCAACAAAAGATCTGGCCTTTGTCAACTTACAAGCTAGAACAGGACATGAAAAGTGTGATCAATGACCTTATTGACACTTTCAATTTCTACCCCTGCACTTATAGAATGCTATCGTTTTTAAGCAGGTTCTTGCGCGAGTTGCAGCATGTCCACCCCTTGATGACGAGGAAGGGACTTTCTTCAACATGAGGGTAAGTCTTCTTCAGTCTTGGTTGTTCACTTGGCATGTCACACATGAGCGCTTGCTTCCTCAAATGGGAATTTATTGTTTCTTGCCTCGGGTTCTCATATCAGTATTTCATTTCCTCAAATTTTGTTTGGCCACTGCCGAGTCTGGTTTGAATTAGGCATATAGATTAGAAAGATGATTAGGAAACTTAATTCTATGGTTCCATGATTAGACTAATGTGGTGATGGGAAGCTCCACAATAATATTATGGTGAATCTCAATAGTTTATTCAGGAATGGTTGAGTTTTGTTTGGCTATCCTTTCATATCTTCTGACACTTTTTGATGGAGTTGATCCATTTCAATGTAGTTGACTCGATGGAGAGATGCATATGCAGAAACAGGGAGTTTAGGTAGATCTGCAGGATAACTAAAATGATAAAACAGTGCCCTCAAATTTAAGTGATGTGTTGTCTGTTATTTCTTATTTGTTGATCGTGTGGGTAGCGAAGGAGTAAGTTAAAGTTATGGTTTGACAAAAGAGCAAATTCATTAGGTATATCACTGAAAAGGTGCTCATGGGCTCGCTGTTGAAGCTGGATAGTGATCTCAGTGGGGCATACGATGACTAGGAAAGAGCCTTGCAAGTGTTGAGTTGCCTTAAACAACATCCACTAGAAAAAGGTCTTTTGCTATTACCATGATTCAGGCTATTAGTTGTGCTCTTTTCTTATTTAAGTGATTCTTTTGTACAATCAATGATAGGAATTGCTTGAATTTTAATGTTTCTCATGTAACATTGATCATTCTAAAGAACTTATGACCTTGACTTTCTGTGCATTTTTTATCATGTGTTTGGCTTATTTCTTCTGAAGATCTACTATGTTTTTTTTTTGTGGTTAATTTAGAAGTGAGGGGAATGTGAGAAAATGGATCCAGACTGCCAAATTGCAGAAGAGCATTGTTAGAGCACCAGAAGGCTTGGATGTCACAGCTGGATAAAACTCGCAAGCAAACTATTATAAATTAGGGTGGTGTTCTAATGGTCACTGGAAATCAAAGGAAGACTAGAAGGCAACAGAAGGCTGTGGAAAGCATGATCCTTTTTTTATATTCACTACGTATAGGAGATTTATAAAATTGAATATAATGAGGGTTGATAATTGGTTCTTTAGATGTTGTATGGAGTTCTGATATCGAGTCTACAAATTAAGATAGGAATACAGTGTTTGCACCTCTTTTATTGCTTTCGAAGGCGAGCAGGGTAGTATTCTTTCTAAGTTGAATTGGAATGCACAAGTCTGTCTGTATCCACTTCTTTGCTGCAGTATGTAGACACTTTTTTTTGTTCTATGTGTATTATATATTTTCCGTATAATAAGAATTCATCTTACATTCTTAATACTTGCATTATCTACTTACATTTTTAGTACATGTATACTTAAAATACAACATTTAGAATAGAAAATTTCGAATACTAACTTAAATTTTACTTAAAATACAACATTTAGAATAGAAGATTTCGACTACTGTCTTAAATTTTACGCCTCCCACCGTGGAGCGCGGGCAGATAACTAGTTGATATTAAGTATCCAAATTTGTAATCCAGTTTGCAGACCTTATTGATGCCTGCTCTTTTTTCAGGCACTGCAACTTTTCTTGGGAACTTGCTCAGTGTGGGTTGGAAAGATTCACTACATTTGCAAAAAGCTATCGAGCCATTTTGAAGCTCTATGCTTTCTCAAGTAAAGCTACACCCCTAAACCTTACTACAATGTGCATTCTTGATCATTCATGTGCACTGGAGGTTCTCATTAAAGTGAAGCCACCATATCTTGTTCGTTATACCGGAAATCTTACATGCTCTATCTATCTTGCCCCTTCTTATTTTTGTGTAATGCTAGTATCAACAAGTGGAAAGTCCCCCTAGTCTGCAGTTAGGTCAAGTTGTAACTCATCCAATTCAATTAAGTTGAAGTTTATACTGTGGAAAGCCCTTAGATAATTTGGAGTCTCGACTAAACTGCTCTAGATCTCTTGAATAGAATACCTGGCGGGATATTATCCTCCACTAGAATATACCACCAAGGCAATGCAAACATACTCCCTCTACTGGATTTTGACCCATTACAGGGTAATGGATCGATTGACTCTCGAACGATCGATTCACTACTTCCAATTCAGGTTGCTATCAGTCTAGGTCAAAGCAAGAAAAAATACAAGTTTGATCAAGACTCATAAATTTCTGAATAATTCCTCAATTGAATCTATAACATCCAATAGTTATGAATATGGGTTCATACAATATGTTCTTAACACAAAGAACTACAGTTCTCCATACCCAAGTAGAAGAGAGAGGTTTTCTCCATGTAGTGAGGGCGATACATAGCCGAAGTGGTCATACACTCATACTAATGACAATGTGTGAATAAGCTCTGGGATATCAATATGCTCTCCGAGGGGCAAACTCCAAGCTTCAACCATCAAATCTTAGCTCAAGTCAACTCCAAGATCTTGTTGTTCGTCGCTTTCTCTAGGACTTTTTTGGGTCATTTCTTGAAGTGGAAATCGGATAGGTCATTGATAGTTACACTTACATACGCTAAGAAAGTCGGGTTGGGTAGACCGGAACCGTTGCATACCAAACCCGTCTTAACTCTCATAGTCTCATTCATTCCACTCGGGGTTCAGAAAAAAGGTTTAAGATCTCTAGGGTTTAAAAGCTTTCTGCAAGTTCTCTTTGCTCCCCGAGCACAAGCTTCCCAGGAGGGGGGAAAATGGCAAGTTCGATGGTTGCTGTCTCGCGCAGACTCTACCGCTCCCTTCTCTCGAACTCCAAGTCGTCTCAAATGTCCATGCCTTTCTGCACAACAACCGTCTCCTCTTTCGATCACTCAGAAGCAGAGACCGAGACTCTCAACTCGGACACCGAGTCAGTTCCCAACTCCGCCGCTTATTCTTCTTCATCGTCGCCCCCCGCCGGCGAACGGGTGGTGTTTGATCGCCCGCTTGAGGGTGGCCTCGATACCGGAGTTTACAAGGTAACGGTGTGAATCGAAATGTCAAAGCTTTTCTCGGTTGCTTTTGGAAGGTTTTTCGTTTATTGTTTGTGGGGTTTTCCCCGTGCAGGCGATATTGGTGGGGAAAGTTGGGCAGAGTCCATTTCAGAAGAAATTGAAGGGCGGGAGAACGGTGACTCTGCTCTCCCTGGGAACCGGAGGGATTCGAAATAACCGTAGGCCTCTGGAGAATGAGGAGCCCAGAGATTATGAGAATCGATGTGCTGTTCAGTGGCATCGTGTCTCGGTTTACCCTGAGAGATTGGGGGATATTGTCATGAAGAATATTGTGCCCGGGTGAGTTTCTCACTGCTCAATGCTCCATTCTTTCTTTTTTCTGTAGCCTTGAACTGCACTGGTAGTAGAATACTCATTAGTTTCGTTCCTAGTGCTAGTTAAATCGAATGACGATATCATTTCCTAACCGTGTTTATGGCGAGAAGATTGCATACAATTGCTATAGTGAAGAACTGAATGGGATATGAGTTGTATAGCGTTAGGGAGTGATGCTGCATCGAGATTACTGTAGGATTGTACAGTTCATGATGTGGTTAAGAATAGAGAATATGAAGGTTTACCATCTCTTAGCTGCCTATACCACACTGAAATTTATGTATGACTAAACTTCAACCCCAGTCCTTCTCATGATAGCTGGATTGATGTCTTAATGCCAACTAGTGGTTCTGAGTTCTGACTTAGCTTCTTTTTCGCCTGCACACATCTATTTTCTCTTGTGGCCTAGAATATACACCCTTTTGGCTACCATGCTGTTTAAAGTTGTGGTATATGTCCGCTATCCATAAAGAATATTTAGATCAAGGAGAGAGAAGAATCAAAACTCTGTATATGATCAAAACGAGCTGATGTGCTAAAAGCTGTTCTTGCTTTCTAAAACTCTCGACTGATTAGGAATGCAAGTGATAGTTTGGTTTAGGCTTATCTTTCTCTCACTAGATGCTATTAGACCTTGGGTTTTCTAGCTAGATAGTGGGATTTCTGTTGTTATGGTCAACGAAATTGGAAACGATTGAATACCCATGTTTGGCTGAAGGAATTACCATTTGCCAGTTACCCTTGGAAGTGTTGTTGTTTAGCAAGTGATCATTCAATTTGCTGCTCCTTGTACAGCTAATGATGCGAAGTCATGACCTCTGAGTTAAACTTCAAGCCCTCTAGCCAACGTTTATATTAATCTTTTGATTTCTTCTCCCTATCAAACTGTTTTCTTCAGTTCAATTGTGTATCTGGAAGGAAATCTGGAGACCAAGATATTTACGGATCCGATAACCGGTATTGTGCGCCGTGTAAGAGAGATTGCTATTCGTCGAAATGGTATGTCTGTTCTTCTTGTCTCTATATGAAGTTCGAACAGTTACAATAAGCATTCCCTACAGTTGTGATTGATGCTGGTACCATCTTTCCCCTGGGAAGCAAGGTTTTTATCTTTGATTTGCAGATTAATAAAAAACAGCTTGTTTGTGATATTATCAAAAGAATCGTCCTAGCCGTTAGGTCCATGTCCATCCTATTTCAACTTTCAAACCTTGGGCCGCAATATTCAACCACAAAAAATAAAAATAAAAAAGTGTTTCTCGACAATTGTTCCCTCTTTTATGTGCATGCCCTTAAAGGAGCAGAGTTGAAGTGCTGTTTTAATGAAACAGGCTAGTCAGAGATAAATTGTTGGCCTGTTTTATCAACTGATGTGAAGATCTTAGACCTTATTGAACTTAATTAGGGTGGGATGTACTAGTAGTCGAGTACGATCTTATTCTTTTTGTCTCCAGATTCTGGTAATCGTAACTAACATCCAATCAAGACTGCGGAAGCCATGGATTACCTAACTATCAATCTGGGTGTGTTTCTTTATCCAGGGAGAATCGTGTCGTTGGGAGGAAACGATGACGCCCGCAAAGCTAGCCCGCCAGAGCTGAAAGGTGTTGGGTACTACTAGGAGTATGGTAGGAAGTGAGCGGCCATTGTTGCCCTGAGAGTCGGCCTGATCGGATACTCTATATTAGTTTGATGTAGTAAAAGCTGCAGCAGGGAGTAAATCTCACCAGTATAGTAATTCTGTCTGTTATTGCATTCTGCCATTTTCTTGGGCAGTTGAAAGATGCAACATGAAGTATACTTTGCCGGTGACTGTCTGTTTCCTTGTGTTACTTTCATTTACTTCATTGAAAAACAGGCGACTCGGTCAAATGAGCAGCCTGCCATTGGAGAGCAGTTGGAAAGGGAAGAGTATGAATAAGGAAACCGTCCCGCGAGGATTCGTTATCTCTGGCGTCAGCGGCAGAACACAGAAAAGCATGCAGAGTCAGTCTTTTGCAGGACCAGCTGCCGTCGATTCGTCTCTCTCTCTCTTTTATTATTGTCTCGGAAATGCATGTTTCAGCTTCAGGCTGGGAGTGGGAACTAGGAATAGATAGGCAGTTATCCAACCTAGGCGGGAGAGTATCTTTTTTCTGCTCAATCTCCCGCCATTGTTCGTTTTGGGGCAAGATCAAGATCCAAGAATGGTCTCCCAGCCTAGCTTCCTATATATTTTGGTGGACAAAGAAAACAGATCAACCGAGAGGCCTAGGGGTCGTATGTGAGTGAGCGACTAGGAGGGAGGGACCCAATTTTACGTGGATCAGCCAGCCATTTGAGGCAAAGTAGGGGGGGGGGGGGGGGGCAGGCAGGTATGGTCACTGCCGTCACTCAGGGGTGTGGTAGTTAATAACAAAAATTTCACGTCAAACTAAAGAAAATGGTTTCTCTAGATTGTACAACTTTAGGCAAATTTCATATCGGGTAGAGGAAGGAGAGATCCATGATTCACAAGTCTGAAATCGATCTCAACTAATAAGAAGAATTTTGGGATGAAATGAAAAGTTCTTGTAAGAACCCTCGAAATTAAACGTGCTCACTGTCTGTTTACAATCTTTATAGCTAAAAATGCCTACGTCATTCAATCGGGAAAAGTGTCTACAACACAAATAACACAAGAAATACATTATTGATGAAATTAAAAATAATAAAAATAAAACCTAACTATCCAATTTAGCTTTCCTTTCATTAATTTATTTATGTGCTACTTTGGCCCTATGAACAATGTGACATTTGTAAGTCAAGTAACTCATTTTTCTAAGTTCATTTAGATAATTTTCTGATGAGTTATTTTGACCCAATTGGAATAGAATAACTTGTTTGGCAACCAAGTGCACTGATAGGTTTTTTAATCCGTATTATTTCCAAATAGCTAAAAAAATGAGTTATTCTAAATAGCTAATATCCCTCTTATTTAGAAAATAACCATTCCTTCCTCTCCACTTTCACGGTTTCACCTCATTATGTTACAACATACCTCATTAAAAATAACTCATTGTTTTTATCAATCCTAGCAAGATAATTTACTGTCGCACTTTTATTCAAATAACGCACAAATACCACATATAGGAACAGATTGAAGATACAATAACTTATTAGTTAATGTGAGGGTAGGCATTAACAAGAGGAATTCATCGATCTATATGTCAGGGAGACAAATCATGTTCGGGAACCCATTCACAAAGCAGAGCACATAAATTTATTCGATTTTGTTAAGCGGGGGGATCTTTCTATGCAAAATTCATGACGTTTTGTGTTATTGATAATCCCGCAATCAATATATGAGATCATCAACTTTAAACAACTGGCCGAGGGAAGAAAAGTATGAAGAAACACCGTCCACTGCTTCTGCATTTTGTATGTATGGCGTCATCTCTGCACATTACAAAATTGGCATTTCAAACCTAATCAAACCGAACCCAATCAATCAACTGAGCTCCACCTGTCCGATTCTATGGATAAACAGACAGCATACGGATAAACAAAACAGATAAAGACCAAGTGCCCTGAAACCGGAAAAACAAAATAAGAAACTACATACACAGCCTATAAAAGGAAAAATAAATGATAATTACGCAGACCGGGTCACTAAAATTTATGGACACTCATAGATTGGTTACAAGTTTTGAGTTTTAGACGATTTTGTCCACAACGGTTTTGGAATCACTCGTACAAACAACAGTTAGTGTGATATTTTTCTTGCGAATAGCTCATATCATCATATTGTATGTCGATATTAATAATAAAGAAGATACAACGTAAACCTTGTAGAGGGTCGGTTCGGTCCTTCTTTGGAATGCTATGTTATGGATTTGGTTAAAATGATACAAGTGACACAAATTAAGAAGTTTGGGGAAAAACAACTGGATTCGACATGTGTTTGTTTAGGTGCGACTTAACTGAAGCATTTCTAGTGTTCTACCAATTTTGTTTGTTCGTAGGTTTGATGTTCTAACAAACTGCTAATTGCAAGACAATCTTTTTTGTTTTGTTTGGTAAATGTTATTGGATATATATACAATGTGTTGTGATCATGGGAAAGCTCAACGAAACATCTTGTAGCTATGGGTAAAACTGGTATGATAAGCGTTTTAGGGGTCCAATTCCATGCATAATATTTTCAACTGCAATTGAAAAATGTTGCAGATTGGCTTTGAGCCACTAAAATTCAACGAATTCATCAGATTCTTTTTTTTTTTTTACAAATCAATTCAATACGAGTGGCAAGGGAGTGATTAGGTTAGCTCACCTGGGTGGGAACATAATCAGGTTATAAGTTTGGGTTAAATTGAATGAGTTGAAAATTGAAATGAGCAATTGATTATCTTCTTTTCGTATGAGTTTGAAGTGGTTTATTGAATTAAAAAAAAAAGACTTGCAATATGTGAGCCAACTTCCATGATTATAGCCGCATGTTCTTACATTATAACCGATTAACCATTAATTTTTGTAAATTGACACACTAATTTTGACAAAGTAGACCATAAGTCAAACAAAGATAAATATGGTGATTGTAATGTTTAGTTAGTTCAAACTTTAGGTACAAAATTGTTAAACATGAATGTCTAGTGACTGATTTGCTATTGAGCCAAAGTTCATTTTGTAATTGACAAAATAAAAACTATACAAGAAATTACTAAAATAAACGAGAGAGCGCACAAAAATTCAATAACAACCCGAACCGCACAAACGCCAGCAAGCAAACAAAGTTCATTACGCCCAACCCAACACAACACAAACTGCGCCCGCACTCTCTCCCCTTCCTCCGCCGAAGAAAAGAAACAGAGAAAACAGGGGAGAAGAAATGACTCTCCGCAGCTGAAAATTTGGGCGGGGGTTAGGCGCGGCAGTGGATGGATGTGCGGAGAATCGTGGTGGTGGTGGAAGATGTAGAGGCAGCAAGAACCGCTCTCCGGTGGGCGCTCCACAATTTCATCCGCCATGGCGACATCTTGACTCTGCTCCACGTTTTCAGCCCCCGGACGATGGGCGGCTCCAGGAGCTCGAGGAAGAAGAAGATGCGGTTTCTCCGCCTCGAAGGATTCCAGCTGGCCCTCTCTTTCAAGGACATCTGCAACTCCAACTTCTTCAATGTAAAAAAAAAATGTTCCCCACTTTCTGCACTTATCCTGTTCGAATTAATGTCTGTGAGTGGGCGAATGTAAAAAAAAAAATAATTTCAGGAAATTGGGTGTGAGGAATTTTCTCTCTCATGGTGTTTGATGATCTTGCAGACGAATGTGGAGATGATTGTGACTGAAGGGGACGATGAAGCTGGAAAGATCGGTGATGTCATTAGAGAGATTGGTGCCTCTGTTCTTATTGTTGGCCTCCATGATCGCAGCTTTCTTTACAGGTAAGATCTCCAGATTAATTCCCCGGCTTCCTGGCTCTCTAATTTTTGAAACCCAGATGGGAAAATCTTAATAATTTAGGCTGTGATGGGTTCTCTTAGTTCTAATCTGGGGTTTGGTCAACGTGGCAGATGAGGTTTAGGTACTGTTTGAGGAAGTGGGTACGAAGTTTCCTGCTTCTTAATTCGTGGCTGATTCTTAATTAACATAGCTGGATGATTTTCGGCCATTTAATTGTAGATTTTTAACAGACGGATTAGAAGCAGAGAAACAACATTGTAATGACTATTGGATCGTCTCAATAGTTCAGATTCGAAACAATGGGAATTCAAAGGTGGCGGCTTGTTGATGCAATTCTCAATTGGTCGTTCACGTGTGACCCATGCGAGGTGAAATTGCCTACTCCTTGCTTTAATGCGAGACAGAGAGTGGCAGTGACCCGCAGTACAGCCATGGCTGCCGCCGCTTTCATTCCATGTGTAGTTAGTTAGTTGTTGTATTGGTATTCATGATACCGTTTCAGTTTCCAAATTAATTATACATCAACAGTTAATTACAGATTAATGATTGAGGTGATGTGGAAACAAGTGTAGATACCATCAACAGTTAATTCGCAGCATAGGCACGCTATTGACTGTGACTGACACGAGGACTTGTTTGTCCCTCTCATGTTCTCTTGGTTTTGCTTCCCCTTGCTTATTCCAGTTTTTTGTTGGTTTGTGGTGAATTAGGTTGGCCATGACCCACACCGATCTAGCCAACCACTTCAATTGCAGGGTACTCGCCATTAAAGCCCCAATTGTTCCTCCACTGCTAGCAACAAAGAAACCCAGGTCCGTTGGCAGCCGGGCCAGTAGTTCAGCCACGCCATCTCCATTGTCATCATCAGATGCTTCAGCTTACCACCATAGCCTCGACTTCTCCCAGATCGAGATCGGCAGGCTAGAGTACGTGATTAATCGGATTTCGTTACTATATAATTTTATGATATGGTGGTTACTGTGTTGTAAATGTATACGTTTTGTGGTGGAATGCAGGGTTCCTGAAACTCCAACACCGAAAGTTCCTTATCAAATCTGCCCCGACCCGTACTCAATACTGTGGAGATGGAGGAGGAGGAAATCCAGGAGGAAAAATTACTAGTTTGTGATCTGATCATTCATTCGGTCGATCTTTGCTTCACCATGATGTCTTTATTGTCTTTAACTTTTGATTTATACATATAGATGGCCAGATAGGGCATTTCTTTTGCTGAGTCTGATAGAAAGCTTAAGCTACACGTAATTGTAGAGAAAGTTCTCCTGATTTGTCAAACTGTTGTGGCTGGTTCACTGAAATCTCTGGAATCCTGATGTCAGAAGGATATTCAGAGACGTGGTTTGTGATTATTAAGACCTGCGGGCTGGTTTTAGTTGAGGCCTTAAGGGCATGAAGAGTCTTCTTGTAGACCAAACCAAGGCCCTCTACTTATACTTGAGCATTGTGCATGTTCGGCTGCAACATGGCCTAGGTTCGTGGAAGACCCATCATTCTCTTGTTGTGTCATGTCAACTCATCTAATATGTTCACACGTGTTATGGGACAATCCAAGTACCACATCGGTTATACAAGGGAAGGAACCCTTGTATATTAGTGTCCACCAATCTCATTAGTACACCACATCGGTTATACAAGAGAAGGAACCCTTGTATATTAGTGTCCACCAATCTCATTAGTACGAGGCCTTTTGAGGAGGACACTCAAGAGTAAAACCGTGCGGGCTTGGCCCAAAGCGGACAATATCGTACTAATTGAGCAGGCCCCGTTATGACAAGTGGTATCAGAGCCTGGTTCGGTTCGGGGCGGTGGACGTCAGTTTGGTGGACCCTCATTCGGTGACCTCGGGATTTGAGATTCGCATCTGGTTTGGTGGATCCATGAGAAATCCACGTTTGGGCTCTGCGTCTGTTAAAGTCCTTGTCCCGAGAAGCCCATCGATACAAGGTGTCTGGCGGATCAAGATAATCGCTGAGGTGAGGACACGATGTTCGTGGTCCTTGGCTTGAGGGGAGGATTGTTATGGGACAATCCAAGTACCACATCGGTTATACAAGGGAAAGAACCCTTGTATATTAGTGTCCACCAATCTCATTAGTACGAGGCCTTTTGGGGAGGACACCCAAGAGTAAAACCGTGCGGGCTTGGCCCAAAGCGGACAATATCGTACTAATTGAGCAGGCTCCGTTATGACAACACGATTTATAGGAGGCTAACCACAGTTTAGATTGAATGTCGTGGCAATACAAAGTTTACAACAATAATTTTCTTATGACGATAATTCTTTATCATAAAAAAAACATAAAATGACTTATATAGGTCGTGTTAATTCATTTAATATTATGTAAAATACATATTGGATTTTTGCTACAATACATACAAAAATTTTCATATGACGAGTCTGTCATAAACCAGTTGATCCCAATAACTCGAGTTAATGGGACCAGCTGGTTTATAACATGATATTAGAGCAAATCTTATCCCTTAAACCTAATATCTTTCTTCTCTTTCCCTTCTGTTTGTCGTTTGTTCATATTCTCTCTGAGTTCCTTCTTTCTTTCCTCAAACATGTCCACTGACGACTAGTCCAACTCCGGCACAGTCGTTCGCTCTGTTGATGCCTCCGAGAACCAGGTGATCCCTCTCAATCCTGCCTCTCGACTTCCCACAAAACTCACCGAGTCCAACTTCCCAATTTGGAGAACACAACTTTTGTCACTGCTAATTGGTCTTGATCTGTTGCGATTCATGGACGGCTCCTTCCCAGCTCCACCTTGCAATATCACCAAAACTGATGGTACAACTAAGCTCAACCCTGCATATCTGTACTGGTATAGACAAGACAAGCTCCTTCTTCATGCCCTTCTTGCCTCTGTCTTCGATGTTGTCTCTCCCTATATCTCTGCTGCTGACACATCTTTTGAAGCATGGTCGATTATGAATCGTCTTTATGCTAACAATTCTCGGTCTAGAATGATGAGTCTCAAGGACAGTCTCACTAAGGAATGCAAAGTAGATCGTTCTGTTTCTACCTAGTTGTAGGTCATGCGCATCATTACAACTGAACTTGCTATTGTTCAAACACCTGTACCCAACGAAGACCTCATCATTCATGTTCTTCGTGGCTTAAGTCCTGAGTACCGTGAGTTTGCTGCAGCAATTCGGGCTCGGGACTCCATTAGTTCTATTGAAGATCTTCGTGACAAACTGGTTGAATTTGAAGCAGATGTGGCTACTGTTCGTGCTCAATCAGAGGCTGCAGTCGTGTCACATCTCGGTTCTCGTCTGTATGCTCATGGAACTTCATCCCCCCGTTCTCGTGGTTCATCTCTAGCTACGTCTTCTTCTCAATTAGGAGTTCTAGGTGCTCCACCCTTCCTGCCGCAAGTTCATTAGCATCAGTCTTCTCCCCAACGCACGTGTATTGTGTGTCAGTTCTGTGAAAAGGCCGGCCACAGTGCAAAGGACTGCTACCGCATCAAAGGACGTCCCTAGGCACACCATTCCTCTCGAGTTTATGCTTCTTCCTAATGCTAGCTTATAGATTCCGCTGCAACAAACCACATGACTCCCGATCTGGGCAATCTGTCTATCTACTCCGATTACACTGGCCCGGACGAGGTGCTTGTTGGTGATGGGACAAGTCTCAAAATTTCACACATTGGCTCCTCTTGTCTTTCTGGTTCTGATGCTTCTTTATCCTTACACGAAATCTTATGTGTGGCATCCATCAAACAACGACTTATCTCTGTGGGTAAGCTATGTCAGTCTAACCCGGTTTCTGTTGATTCTTTTCTGATTGTTATGTCGTGAAGGATCTAAGCATGGGGGCGCAGCTGCTGCGAGGCCATAATAAGAGCGCTGTCTACGAGCTATCGAGGACACCAATGCCATCTCGATTAGCCCTCTTCTCCACCAAAACATCTTCCACAACTTGGCATTCCTGCCTTGGCCATCCGCACTCCAAAATGCTTTCTTGTGTGCTCCGCACCAATGCTCTTCACGTAACATATGTTTCCTCCATTTCCTCATGCCAGTCATGTTTAGTCAATAAGAGCCACAAACTGCCATTTTCGGCCTCTAGTTTGAGTAGCTCCCACTTGTTCATCCCTCCTCATACACCTGAACACAACGGCTTGGCTGAGCGCAAACATCGCCACGTCGTTGAGACCAGTCATGCCTTACTTCATTTTGGCTCTCTACCATTATCATTCTTGAGTTATTCTTTCACCACTGCTACATATCTAATCAACCATCTACCTTCCTCATTGTTAGGCGGCCAAATCCCTTTCTTTTCTCTCTTTAACACAAACCCCAACTATCTCAAACTTCGCACTTTGGTTGCGCTTGCTTTGCCTGGTTGCGTCCTTACCGTCCTCACAAGTTAGCTGCCTGGTCACGCAAGTGTATCTTCCATGGATACTCCACTCAACAAAGAGCATATAAATGCTTTGATCCCGCCACCTACCGTATCTTCATCTCTCGCCTTATCATGTTTGACGAAACTCAATTCTCTTGGCTTGGATAGTTGCCACCTCTCCATTACAAATAATTCCTATTCCATCCATCCCTTCCCCACCCACAGACCCTCCCTCGGCCCATTCCACCTTCCCCTTGGCCCAACAGTCCTCCTCATCAAACCCAGCCCCAATCATTACGCCCACAACCCCCAATATTAACAGTTGTTTAACTGTTGATTAAAGCACAAGGTATGATGGGCCTGTGCAAACTTCAAGCCCGTGAGTTGGCTTTCATTTGAGGGGGCATGTTAGAGAATAGTATAAGATCCCGCATAACCTTCTCCCAACAACTCGAGTTATTGGGACCAACTGGTTTATGACAGAGTCAATAATGCCCAAATCCATATCACGACCTACAAATGATCGATATCGAGGAAGCCAATTAATACAGAGAGAGAGACACACAGAGAGAGGAGGGCACCTAATGATAGACTTTTTCTACTTTACGGAAAATGGATTTTATCTATGTGGACAGAAATAGATATTTAGCGAACGACTATTTGCCGCCAACCAAATTGCTATTTGCCGGCAAGCCATAATTCTATATAAACATCATAACCAAACTTCTAGCTGCATTCTTAACAAAAATTTCCGTCGTCGAGCCTAGTGCCTCCGTTGCCGGCACAGTCCCTCCATCACCGGCCACCGTCTCGTTGTCGCCGACCAACAAAGACAGGTAACTTTTTTCCCGGCGACTTTACCTAGTTTCCGATGAATTATAGCGGCAGCCGAAGGAAAATTTTGGCCGGGGCGTGGGCGGCCGAGATATTTTCTCCAAAAAATCCACGCACCTTCTAAGTGATGATTCATGGATGTGTGTCGCAGTTTACATCGAGGTTTGACTTTTTCGATGATTTTCCGACGAGGTTTTTGGCAAGCGTCGATTTTTTCTGATTTAATACATTTTCTGAGATTTGGATATGTTGTAGGCAGTGAAACTCCTTTACCGAAGACTTATATATAATCTACTTTGAATTACTTTTTTTTGGTTGGGCGGCAAATAGCATGCCCCATACTTTATCCTCACTTTTGTTGCATAAGAACACTATAAGTCTATAAGTCTATAACTACCTGTAAAATGCAACGTAGCAACGGCCAACTACCAAGATTTAACGTGGTATCCCTGAGTATTAGGACTAATCCACGGGAGAGGTTGTGCTCTCCAAAAGGGTTTCACTATAATTAAGATGGATTCGTTACAGAAGAATAGTCGAGTTTGGCTATATATATGGGGTTAACACTAACCTAATACCACACAACTAATATGGCTATTTACATAATGGTACCTAAACAATATAAATCAACACCCTCACTCAAATTGATGTGCGGTTCGCAAGATAAATTTGGAAGACAAGTACCAAAATGTCTACTCGAAGAAACCGCCTTCGTGAGTAAATCTGCAGTTTGTTCTTCGGTAGAAAGATAGCCAATCTGTATTACTCCTTCAGCCACTAGTTGTCTAATATAATGAACATGCACCTCTATGTTCTTCGTTCTATCGTGCAACACCGGATTGACTGCAATCTGGATTGCACTAGTGTTATCTCCATATATCTTCATTGGGACTCGACAAGCAACACCCAATTCTCCAAGTTACCGATGAATCCATACCATCTCCGAGCTCACCTCTGACATAGATCTATATTCCGCCTCTATTGACTACTACGAGACTCGATCCTGCTTCTTACATCGCCACGACACAAAGGACTGCCCAACTCGAATAAACCAGCCTGAAGTCGATCGCCGGGTATCCACACAACCAGCATAATCAGCGTAAGCAAACGCCTCCACCACAGGTTCATCGGTCGCAGGAAAGAACAATCCGACATCTTGCATTTGCTTTAAGTACACCGCAGCCAGATGTAGGCTAGTTGTTATACCCATAAACTGACTCACAACCTGAGATGCATATGAGATATTCGGTCGTGTATGAGTTA